AGCGACCACCCAGCTCGGAGGCCTTAATCTTGGCTGGTTTGTCTTCATACTTGCCCACCCCAAGGAATGTTCTAAACAGGAGACCACCCAGCCCGACGACGTGAGTATTCGACCAACCTGCCACCCCAAGGAATGTTTCGAGCAAGCGAGTACCAATCATCTCAATATAAACATCTTGTCATCCAAATCACACCAACATGCCAAATGTAAGAATTAGCGAAGTAAGGAGGACGTATTGTAAGAAAACACAATTCCATTGATATTGAGCAAATTTGCGGGTTATATCATTTTCAGCCTTTTTTGAACTCTTCCCAAAAAAAAAAAAAAAAAAGAAAAAATTCTACACATAATATTTCTTCACATTAGCAATGTTCCATGACCTGGCTAGTGATTGTCCCTCAGCATCCTTGAGAGAATATGCTCCTCCTGCATGCACCTTCTCGACCAAGTATGGTCCTTCCCAGTTTGGCTCTAGTTTTCCCACATGTTTCAGCACATCGATCCTTTTCCAGACCAAGTTGCCCACTTGGAATCGGCGAACTTTCACTCTTTTGTCATGGGTTGCTCGCATCCTTTGCTTGTATGCTTTCACCTTGATCGATGCCCTTTTTTTGGAGCTCCTCGATTGTATCCAGGGCCGTCATCATTAGATCCTCGTTCTGCTCCTGGTTGTAAGTGCTCAATCTTTGTGACATTAGCTCGACCTCGACCGGCAACAATGCTTCCATCCCATAAACGAGAATGAATGGGCTCTTCCCAGTTGTCGACCTCGGGGTAGTGCGGTATGCCCAAAGTACTGAGGTTAGCTCATCGAACCACGCCCCCGAGGCCTTTTTCAGCCTTGTCTTCAACCCGTTCAGTATGATACTGTTGGTCACCTCGACCTGTCCATTGGCTTGCGGATGAGCGACTGAGGCAAAGTGTAATTCAATCTTCATGTCCTCGCACCATGCTCGGATCCGCTTACCATTGAATTGAGTTCCATTGTCAGACACCAACACCATGGGGACTCCGAACCTGTAGCAAATATTGTTATATAAAAATTTGATGACTTTCTCCTCCATGATTTTTGCCAAAGGTTCGGCCTCCACCCACTTTGTGAAATAATCCACCGTCACGATCAAGAATTTTATCTGCCCCGTTCCTTGGGGCATCGGCCCCACTAGGTCGATTCCCCATTGAGTGAAAGGTATTGGGGCGCTCATCGTCGTCATTGTTTCCGCTGGTTGGTGAATTAATGGGCCATGCTTCTGGCATTGCAAACACTTCTTCACCATCATCTTTGCATCTTTCTTCATTGTCGGCCAAAAGTATTCTACCCTCAGGAGTTTTGCCACCTGATATGGGATATTATACCCAATAGGCTGAGCCGGTCTACGGACCGGTAGAAGAGGTCATATTCTGAAGAAATCGAGAGAATCGAGCAGTCACTCAGTCGACCAAGCAAAGCTGTCGACCAAACTATTCATCGACCAGATAGGCGATCGAGCATTCTGATTCGACCTCAACAGGTCGATTACTTCGAGGACTTGACACCACGCTGTTCGGCCTAGTCATAGGCGCGTGAAGGAAGCCTCTGACAGAATTCCAGGAGAATATTTACCCCATGTGCAGGGGGACACGTGTCGAGAAAGCAGTGGTGGATAGCGATAACCACCCCTGACAGCCTACCTCATGTGCAGGAGGACACGCGTCCAAAGAGGATTGGTGCAGGCGATAGTGGAGACGGCCGCCTCTGACACACGCGTTTGGTGTGTACGGACGGGCAGCTAGGGCAGACAGCTCATCAAATCCGGGCAGCCCTAGGTCAGGTATCTCACCCCTATATAAAGGGGGTGAGCCTTTCTTCTTCAACACGATCATTCTATTACTCTTGAGAATTGATTGAATACACACTGACTTAAGTATCGGAGGCTCTTCACCGGAAAACCCCTCCGGTGTGAGAGTTCTTTGTAGGTACGCGACGTTCAACCGGCGAGAAGGAAGGCGATTACTCAAGTTCCAGCCGGTCGAGGAGTTTCGTGTTACCATTTGGCGCCGTCTGTGGGACTTTCGTTGCAAAAGGTGTGCTTGAAGCTCAGCTATGGCGGACGGAGTTCCCAAAAACAACGTTCGATGATGCTTGGACGACGACTAGGCCGTTGGGGCATGGTCCTCCTCCGGGTTTTTCGGGCCCATCGCAGACGCCGGTCACCCCCGCACCGGTGCTCCAAGGTGTAGGAGCGGCAACAGCGATCCCTGAAGGAAATACCGGCCCCAGTCGCGCCCAGGAGGCTCGCGCAGCGGACGCGGCGGCGATGCCACCACCACCACCGCAAAATTTGGCAACGATACAACCAGGAGGAACAGGGGAACAACGGGGGGGAGCGGCGGTCCAAGGAGGAGCGCCGCCGCAACCGGCGGTTCAGGTCCCCGACCAACCGGTGGTAATGACCAGGCAGGAAATGCAACAA